TTTGTGATTTGTCATTGAAATATTTTCACCTTATTAACTATAACTACAATTCTTTGATGGAATAAAAATCTCAATTTCAATTTAATTATGTGTGAATTTATGAACACATGAAATTGACTTTTCACTTATGCACTTATTCTCCTAACAGATACGAAAGTTTTTTTACACATCAAATCCAGACAAATATAATAAATAAGTCAATGTAAATTAGTTAGTTTTATGAATTTTCAAATAAATTTAAAATGTATTATATATTATATATGATCTATTTTAATCATATTTATTAGATTTATTGTGGTATCTAGGGATGGCAAAAAAATCCGCGCCCGCGGATATCCGCGGATAAAATCCACGACGGATAGTTGATACCCGCGGATATTTACTACCCGCAATCCGCGGGTAGCGGTATTTTACTACCCTTATAAAAGTTTGCCAGTGGGCGGATATTATACTATCCGTACCCTCGGATATCCGCTAACCCGCAAAAAAAAATACCAGAAAATTTTAATTTACATTTATTTAAGTTAAATTTAATTAAAATTAACATTATTTTATCTTTTCCTCTTCCCTTTCCTTCCCCTTTCTCTTTCCATTTCCTTTCGTTCTCTTTTCTGTATTTTTATAATTTTATTTAAATTTTATTTTAATATTGTATTCAAATATATATTATTTTAATATTTGCGGGTATCCGCGGATATCCACGGGTATCCGCGGGTTTTAAAATATACGCGGATATTTTTTAAGCGGGTATCCGTACGGGTAGCGGGTCGGGTAGCGGGTGGATTTTTTTTTGTCGGGTCGGGTTGCGGGTAGGCACTATCCGTACCCGACCCGATCCGTTGTCATCCCTAGTGGTATCATTGTTAAGTCTTTAATTATATATTACTCATAAATACTTTTTGGGATATGCGTTACTTATTTAATTTTAAAATTATTTATAGTCATAGACCTACATTATTGTTTAAATAGAGATTTGTAGGGGTAGATGGCCTTGAGGTAGTAATCTTTGTTTTCTTTTGATTGTATACAGTATATGTTCTTTTACATGGATAAAAATATCACACTTATTTTAACTGCTTCATTTATTTATATTTGTTTTTATCCATAAAAAATATTATTTATAAAGATGTCTAAACTTTGATTTGATAAGATATAAAATCTCGCATTAACAACTATTATAAATAAATAAGCTTTTTTATTCAAAGAGACTTATAAGAGTTTCCACACTCTTTCGGTCAATAATTTAAACTAGAATTGTCAAAATAAATCACAACCCGCAAGCTAATCCGATCTATCATAGGTTTGAGTCGGGTTGGATTTAAAAAAATTATATTTTTTTTATTCGGTCATATTTCAACCCGACTCATGCGGGTTGAACCTGTGAGGGTCGTGTTGGACCCACCACCTCACCTACCCTAATTTATTTTAATAACATTTATTTTTAATTTATAAAAAATATTTATTATTTTGTTTTTGCTTGAAAAAATTATTTAGGTTATTTATTTTCAAAATTAATTAAACACATATGTTAGGAGTGAAGTTTGTTTATATTTGAATTCTAGAAAGTTTGTAACTTCTTTTAATTTTAAAAAAATTGTAATGAAGTGAGCTGAGCCAACGTGTTTACTCACCAATCCGTGATGGGTTAGACTGAGTTCGAATTTTTCTAGCTCGCTAATAAATGAGGCGGGTTGGATTGGCTCTAACTCGTGGTGGGCCGGGCCGGATAGTCCTTTTTGACAACTCTAATTTGAACACGTGTTATAGAAATCCTAAACAAACTAATATTTATCTTGAATCATTTTGAAACAAATTTTAAATTTTAAATGACACCTAAATTTTAAATTTTGAAACAAATGTGTCATTTAACTCATTTTAAATTTTACACCTACATTATCTTTTGTTTATATTATTTTGGTTAATGTACAATATTTTTGTGGGTCAATTTAATATTATACTTTACCCTTTAAATTAAATAGAATTATGAAGTGGATTAAAAATAAAATTATTATTTTAATGTAAGCTGTACATGTAAAAATTGTATAGAATAAAAAAAGGATTTATAAATGGAATAAAGTTTTATATATACTAATGGAAAAGAGACTACCTCTTTGTTTTTTAAACGAATAACAGTCAGTGAATGATCTGTATAATATTATAGTGTTAAAAAATGCGAATGACTTATAATGTATTATATGTTGAATTGCCTATGCACTTTCATATTTGATTTTTTATTTTTTATTTAAAAATATGATTAAAGATAAGATAGAACATTAGGTATGTGTTTCAAAGAATATAATTCTCCTTATAAGCATTTTTTTAATTTACAAACAATCCTTTTAATTTTAAACATCTATATATATATATATATATATATATTGTTTATAAATAAGTTTTTTAAATATAAAGAATATGTATTAATTACAACTTACTTTATCAAATAAAAATTTCATACTAAAATTTTGTTTTCTAATCTCTTATTATTGTCCATTGAAATATTAAAGTAAAGATTCGGAGGAGTGGAAAACCTTTAGTTTGAAGGAGTTAAATGCACCTTCTGAAGTAAAAATAAAGATTGATACTATCTCCTCTCTACAAATTTTCTTTCTCTAGACTGCACAAATCATCGTCAGGCCTCTTCTTTCCTTTCCACCTTCATTAATTGATAATTAAAGTTTCAGATTTTGCAAGATAATCACAGGAGCCAAATTTTATTAAAAACTATTTGAATCCTTCAAAATAATCACAATGTCACCTTTTAATTTACATTTCTTACACTAGATTCAAATTATTTGTTATTTATTTTTAAAGATTATTTAAAGTTAGGACACAATTATATCTTAGTAATACAGGATTTACTAATCGGTATTCATTAATTTTCTTGAAGCAATGAGTTAATAAGTTATAAATTATAACTTATAATTGTTGTTATTCTAAACTGTAACTTTATAATATATTGTTTATTAAAAGAATATAATCGTCCTTAACAAATTTCTATTTTATTTACTGTTCGTTATAAGCGATACAATACGCGTAAAGTTAGGCTATAAATTATGAATTTTTGAGAGGAAATTGACTTCCATTCCTCGGATTAAAAAAATCTCAACTTAATATTTTTTTAATCATATATATAGTTTCTATTTCTCACTTTTTTTTAAATAAGTCTTGACTTATTTTTATTTTTGAAAAATTAAAATAATTGGATCATTGTCGTTATTTTGTACCAATACTATTAGAAAGATATCACTTGTCAATTTATCAAATTGTGGTTTTTTTAAATATTTAAAAAATAATAATTTTTTTTATTTTTTTAAATTGTCATATTTGATGTTGTGTGACAATGACATTGTAACGTTGCATTAGTCTCAATTTAGTTTCTTTATTTTTATTTTGTTTTAATTTAGTTTTAAATTTTTTAAAAATTAAACAATTTTATAATTTTCTAAATTCAAACAAAATTTAAATTATATAAATTTTTACAAATATTTTTATTAAAATCGATATTCTTATTAAATATTTTTAATAAGATTTAGTTTATTTATATTTATATTTAGTTAATTATATAAATGTTAATTATATTAAATTTATATTTAATTAATTATACAAGCGAGAGATTTATTTAAAAAAAAGTCCCTAGAAATAGGTTTCAACTAAAAAAATTAGAATTTACTTTTGAAAAGTATTCCAAGTCTTCAAATCTAGAGCTTAATGTTTAAATGAATTAAGGAAGAGCAAAACGAAATTCATTTTAACATTAAATAAAAAAGCTTATTAAATAATTAAATATATTATATGAATCACATTTAAACAAGTTTGTTTATGAACCTCTGGAGTGATTCGAAGAAAAAGGATAAATGGGTAACCAAATTTAGTTGAGTGAGTAAAGAATTAGACTTATATCCTAAGACTTAATGAATGTTAATGATGATTTAAGACTTAATATATACCTAATCATAAAAAGTCTTTGAACATTCAATCAACTCACTTGGACTTTTCTTATCATATAAAGAAAACATGGATCCACATTACCCTATGTGGGTGTACTAAAAAAGACAGAGAGAAAAACCCTAAGGGTGTGTTCTTTTGGGTGTATTTGGGAGAGATGATTTGGGGGAGATGATTTGAATGGATTTGAAGATAATTTTTTAGTTGTTTTTTTGAGTGGATTTGTGGTTAATTGAGAGTGGATTTGGAAATAAAGTTTGTGCCCTTCGTGTCGGCTCTGCTTGCTGTGCTGCTTTTCGCCCTTCGTTTCCTCGCTCCCCACCTCCCGATTACCAAAATGCCCCCTATGTATAAAACGTATTACATGTTATTTGTCATGTTTCTTTCATTGTAAAAATGTTTCTGTGAAACGCACACAACTTAAATGAATAGTTTATAATTAATGCATTTGCTGAGTGACGGTTCAACTTGAAACCCATAAGTTACTACATTTAATATATTATGCATGCTTTATTCAATGTTTCTGGAATTATAGAATTATCAGATAAACATAGATAACTTTTCATCCCAAATCGTCTCAAATCTTTCCAAAACTACAAAACCCGGAAAAACAATAATCCGCACAAATCATTTCTTATCCTTACTTTTTCATCCTCGCAAATTATACAAATTGAACAGCGTTTAATCCGCAAAACCATCTTGCAAATTGACGATTACAATAAATCACCCAATCGAACATAGGCTAAGATATAGTGTTTATCTTGAACATCAAAGTTCAAAGACAGTCACACAAATCATGCACTGCTTCAACTAAAAGGTCTCGACAAAATTAAATGTCACTGGACACTCACTCACTCATTCATTCCCCTCTTCTCACTTTCCTTCTTTTCTTTACCACCAAAAAGATCAGCTCATCCATCCAAGAATCAATGATGGATACCCTAAGCCAAAATGCTGCTACCAAACACATTAACACAAAAGGACAAAACGCACCCAGTTTTCTTCCTTCACCAAAAATATTTCCCAAACTAAAATCCACCCTTACGTGGCATTTCCATACCCAAACTAGTCAGATCTCTTCTTACTGCTCTATAGCTGTACGGGACCCACTCTTCTCCCTTCCTACTGTTCTATCCTTCTTCTTCCCTTCTATTTATTATGCTCTTTCCTCCGCCATTTTTCATACACGATTTATTATAAGAGTAACATAAGAAAACCCCTAGAATGAAACATGGTTGGTCTCAGCGTAGTGCTCGAAGTTCAGAAGCCTTGTATCAATAAAAAGACACCTCAAGTCATTAACAAAACCACCATTCTGTCTACCACCACCACCCACAGAAAACCAGCCCTTCCTCCTTCTCCTTTTCAGTCCCCCACTTTTCTAGATCAATGCTTTCTCTGTGGGAAGACACTCTCGCCAGGGAAAGATATCTACATGTACAAGTGAGTCCTTTTAATCAAAAGATACAAGAACTCACCATACCCTTCTCTCTCTCTCTTTATGTTTCTTTTTATCTTGATCCATATAACCTACATTATTTAGTCTGTTGGATATAATAAGACTTTTACTTTTGTTGTTGTGTTGTTATTTTTAGTCTTGGTTCAGATCTTGTGATGTCTGGATCTTTTGTTTGTTTATCGATGTTATTGAAGTTGTTTTTTCTTTCGGGGTGTGGTTGAAATACGAACAATGTAGAGGGGACAGGGCATTTTGCAGCGTGGAGTGCAGATGCAAGCAGATTTTTTGGGACGAGGAAGAAGCTATTAAGAAAGAGAAGTGTTCTTTGGCTGCAATGAGGCCGACGTCGTCTTCGTAATCATCTTCTTCGAGTTCACGTCATCACCGGAAAGAAACAAGAAACCGTGGTGTTGGGTTTTTTTAAGGAAGAAATGATGAGAAACGGGAGGATTGTAATTTTTTGCACTCGCATTCCAGTTTTACCCACTATTTATTTTGTTAATGACGGCAGAGGGCTTGTCCTTTTTGCTTCCTAGTATGAAGCCAAAATGTCCTTTCAGCTTTTTATTTTTTGGGGTCCAACTTCTGGCTGTGCCAACGCTGAGACCTGATGAGGGGTGGCATTGCGATGCTTTCGTTCTGTTGCTCAGAAACCGAACCCACACAGAAACACTTCCATGTTTTGTCTTTTATTTCATTTTTAGTTGCTGACAGTTGGAAGGGTATTTCTGGCATCTTATCATGGTTGCTTTCTGAAATCAAGCAAGTCCTATTAGTCTTCCTTGTTAATCAAAACTTAAACTCATTGTTTAATGGGTATACGAAGCAATTGGGTTGGATGGTCATGGTCATAGAAAGTGATGGTGCACTTATACTTGCAACAAAACCAATTTGCAATGTGAATTTCTGAAGTGATTTTGAGAAGGGTAATTAATTAAGCTTAAAATCAGTTCTTAATAGACTGAACTGAAATATTAATAGTGGAAGGTGATTGATTAATTGACAGTGAGTGGATTATCCTTGGGGGTTGTGGCATGAAAGAGCGGTGATTGTTTTTAAGCAAAATGACAATGGAATACAGTGATCAAGTTTCCATGCATTTGTGAAGTTGTCGGGGTAAGTACGAATGCCACATTTGTAGTTAGGTATGCAATGTTTCACATTTCTAGCTATCTCTCTCAGGTGCTCATGGAACGCGTATACTATGCTACCACGCTAATTAAATATCAAATTATAAATGTATTGTATATTTTAAATTTAAAAATCATTTTTTTTTTATAAAAATTAGGCTCAAGTCTCATTAATACTAGTAAATCTTCTTTAAAGGATCCATCGTTTATCTCTATTCATACATGTTAACCCAATGTCATTGAACACGTACAAAGAACCAAAATTAAGTCAATTTTAGATTCAAATAAGTTTAATGACGTACAGGTTTAATTAAGATTGGACTCAAATAACCTTAGTGGTTTAATATGTGCTAATTTATGGGGTAAATATTTATTTCATTAAATTTGAATTATTATATTTTCGGAAGGAGAATTTCTTTCATTAAAAAGAAGGAAGGTAAGGTCCTTTTACATAGGTGGAGTTGAATTAGGTTAGACTTCGTACTCGTTAACCGGTCTAATTAAAATAATTTCAGTTGTGTTGGATTTGTACACTTTTTTTTACCAAATCTAAATTGAATTAATATTATAAAGCTGTGAATTTAGCTGGATGGAGTTGATGAGTGTAAAAAGGAACAAAAAAAATATTTTTTATTTTAAAAAGTGATTAACGGTTTTATTGAAACAAATTCAATAAATACTTGTTTAAAAGAAAATAAATTGATTCAGAGGTAAAAATACATGACTTTTTTTATGCAGTGTTTAAAATTTAATTCCAAAATTAACAACTCTTTTTACGATTTTGTGGTTGAAGTTTGACACTACCAATAAAAACTCATTCATCTTTCTATAAAAAAAACTCTTTCGTTTATAATAAATTATTCTTACAAGGAAAAATATATTTTCATTTTTTAATATGAATGAAAACTATAGAGAAATTTAAACTTGTATTGAATTTATCACTAAAGTAAAAATGGATAGAGTTTTCAAATATGCCATGAAAGCGTACAATATGCATAAAGTAGTTTAGAAACTCACAAATAGTTTCTCCGTTATAAATATTCTAGAGAATAAGTGGACAACAATAGATGCAACTTTTCTAGATTTTCATTTTTATATATTGTGTGCAATAATAAATTAAAATTTAAAATATATAATGTCAGAAATAGGTGGCATTGAATCTATTAGTTCAGTAGCAAAACAATATGATTAAGTATGGTGGTGAAATATAACTAAACATATTTTTATAATTGATTGTGTTACATATCTAATTTTGATTTTCTTATGCTACAATTATAGAATTTTCATTTATTTTAACTAGTTTTTTGTTCTCAATTTAAATAAGGTTATCCTTCATGTCAAGCATCGCCCATGTCTGGTTCCACATCCGAGCAGATGTGGCAAATTGCTTCAGAAGCTACCTAGCCTTAGTCCTGTACTTTCAATATTAATGTGATTTGAAATACAACCATACATCCAATGCACAAATACCAAACACCGTTAAGTTATACATGCCAAGAGATTGAATGAAAAATGAAGATAGTGATATATAAATTTCGAGATAAATTTTACTTTTACTTATTATTGAAATACAAAAA